GTAACCCCAAGAAGGAGCTACAATGGAGACTGCAGGCTATAGGTTGGTGGTCGTAATCACGCTTATCTTGTAATAGACCAGCAGTCCAGGGGGGTTATTATGCACAGCAGTTTTGTTTTGGTTTTAAGAGTGCAAGTAATATATATAGAGGTCCGAATGATTGATAAGTCCCGATACAGATGCAGTCTCATTCAGTACATTTAATCCCAAAATCCTTCTTCTAGGGTTTAGGAGCTTTGGGATTAGTGTAACGGTTTTGGGATTGGGGTGTGTAATACAATAGGGGCCTTGATAATTACCTGTACTATTTTTGGGGGGCTCCTTATTATAATTATAGTATAATATACCGCAAACCCGATTCTAATTAATAAGGCGCCTACAGTATGGTTCAGAGACTGAGTCTGAAGTGCAGGAGATTTCTAGCTAGGTTCTGCAGCAGTACCCTATTCTTTGTGGGCTCCCTTATTAAAGAAGGTTTAGGGCCTAGGGTTTAAAGCCAAAGTGTAGGAAAAAGCGTGCCCTTCTTTCTAGGGGGCTACTGGGGAACCTAGATTTTCTTGCCTGGACTCAGGTAATCAGTGTACAACGGCCTCCCGAAATGGGCTTAGCGCTGCTTTTGCAGGCAGTACGAGAGAAAAGAAACAGGTACACACCTGTTCGAAACTTGAACCCTAGACCTTGATACGTAACGCCCCCAGCCCGAACAACATATCGTGGATACGCAGAGAACCCGATACCCTAGATATGATCCATGGTCTGTTTTACCAGAAAGGGGTGTTGAGCTCACTGGAATTCTCTGAGCAGTGTACCTCAGGAGGAACAGGAGAAAATCGCTGCAGAGCAGAAGCGAAAGCAGGAGGAGGCTGGGTATCTCCGCCGTGCTACCGTGCTTGCCAAGGGTTGTTGCGTTCGTAGGGTTTGGAGGATTTACTTGCAGGTTAACCCTGGGCAGGCTAGTTGCCGAACCCCTGGACACTGAACCCTGAGAATGATGGCCACTAATATATATAGAGCCTTAACAATTCGAATAGGGTTTTGGGGCCCATTCTATTATGATTATAATGAGGAACCCCCCAAATAGTATAGGTAATTACCTAAACCTAAACCCTAAACCCTAAAAGGCCCCTACATCAGCTTCTTTCCCTCCCACTTCGGGCCGTGAGCGAAAGCACTGAAGGATGACAGCAACATGGAGCAGGTTCCGGACAAGCAAGTAGGGCTGAGAGTTTATGGTTACAGGGTTCAAGGGTTTAGGGTTAAAGGGCTTTAGGGTTTGGTCCTAAAGAAAGGGTTTAGGCTTAGGGTTTAGGGTTAAAGGGTTTGAGGGTTTGGTCTAAAAGGGTTTAAGCTTAGGGTTTCGGGTTGCAGGGTTTGGGATTTAGGTCTTAAGCCCAACAGCCAGAGTGCCAGAAGAAAAGCCATCGGCAGTCTTATGGTGCGCTCCACTATTGCCACCAGGTGGCGCATGCATGCAAGATGCATGTGCAGTGCTAGATCATTGCCTTGCCTGGCCGTTTGACTTTCGGGTTTTGGCTTCAGGGTTCAGGGGTTTAGGGCTTGGTTTTTCGACACCCGCGTAAAGCCTACTTGCCTACAAGTACCTACCTACCTGCTTATACTTCCCTGCCTTCCTACTACCTTTATCTACCGGCCTGGCTGCCTGAATGCCTGAGTACATGCATATATGTGTCTAGTCAAAACGTAAACATATATAGGTTCAATGTAAACGTCGGAGTTCATACAGTAGTGACTCAGACAGTCAAGAGTGCATATGCGTGCATCAACACGTAAAGGTGCCTCAGTCCACTGTGCTCGTGCTTCTTTGTGATCTTGGCGTGGTAGTCTTACCAACAGAAACCAGAGCATGCTGCCGTATGCACCCTCTGCAGTAGTATTTCTCTTTCAATTGCAGAGTCCAACCTCAAGAACCTGCTTGCATGTTCCACTCTGCTGCTGCCGTCATCATTGTTGGCTAGTACATCTAGGTTCCCCACTTGTACCCTTTTGCCCTTTTTCTTTTTGGGTTCCCTTATTGAAACCAAATAGTAGGAAAAAGGGTACCCTTATTATTAAGGGGCTACTGGGGAACCTAGACATGTCTTAGAATCACTCTGCAGCCTCATGCACGTGCCATGTTTCATGATGGCTTTTCTCCTTCTTGTGATGGATGGTGGTTGTGATTTAACAGTACAGTCAGGGTATTCATATCAGTGCCCGTCATACTTATCGCTGGCTGGGAATGTGTAATTATGTTATGTCTTGGTCGTATCTTTATTGTTTTCCTCGTGGTTGTCGTCGCCTTCATCGCTGTGGGCACTTAAACATAAACACTAAACCCTAAACATCGCTAGACCCTAAACCCTAACATTCCTAAGCCCTACACACTAAACTTCGCTACACCTTGAAACCTAAACATCCCCAAACCCCGGCCCTAGACCCTAAACATCCCTAAACCCTGAACCCTAAACCCCCGACACCCTAAATATGCCTACGCCCTAAACCCTAAACATCCCTAAACCCTAAACCCTAAACCCTAAAACCCTAAACCCTAAAGCCCTAAAGCCCGGAACCCTAAACCCCGACACCCAGGAAGCCCGGCAGAGGAAGGAAGCCGAAGCGCTGAAGATCCAACAGGCCGAGGAAGCAAAGCGAAAGCAGGAAGCAGAGCAGAAGCAGAAGGCGGCGGCATTTGGAGTAGGGTTTAGGGCTTTAGGGCTTTAGGGTTTTAGGGTTTAGGGTTTTAGGGTTTTAGGGTTTAGGGTTTAGGGTTTAGGCTCTTTGGGTTTAGGGTGAGTAGGGTGGAGGGTTTTTGTTGTGCAGGAAAGAAACCATCACGCACTTCTGGTTTTGACTTGTTTCTGCTTCCTCAAACCCCGAGCAGGAGGAAGCGGAGCGCCAGCGCAAGGAGGCGGAGGCGCGTCAGCGCCAGCAAGCAGAGGAGGAGCGCAAGCGCAAGGAGGAGGAAGAGAGAAAGCAAAAGGAAGAGCAGGAGAGGAGGCAGAAGGAAGAGCAGGAGAGGAAGCAGAAGGAGGAGCAGGAGCGAAAGCAGAAGGAGGAGCAAGAACGATTGCAAAAGGAACAAGAGAGGCAGAGACAAGAGGAAGAGAGCCGGCGGAAGGCAGAAGAGGAGAGAAGGAAGCAGGAGCAAGAACAGAAGGTGATGGCGGAAAGCAAGCCCCTCAGCGAAGAGGAGAAGCTCGCTGCTGGGGACCTGGTCACATCATTTGAGTGATTGTCATAGGCTGCTGGGGATTTGATCACATCAGTGGAGTGATATTGTCATAGTTGGGTAACATTTCACATCTTTATGGGTAACTACTTAAACACAAAATGTTTACTATCGCAGCTATAGTTTAATTTAAGACGGGTTAGAGACAGAAAAGGGATCCTAATAGCAGGCGCTTGAAGCTTGAAAGAGGGAAGGTTCCTTGATCAGGGGTATTAAAGTAAGTCCTAAACCCTAAGCGGTGCACCTTTAAGCATTGCTGGAGCCAACTATTCGGCAAGAAAGCTAGCTGAGGCCGTCAGGGCTTCACGGTTTGAGGAATTGGAGTTTACCTATACTCTCCGTTGCAACCCACTTTATCTATAGGATCCCAGCATGTAACCCCAAGAGGATCTGCAGTGGACTATAGAGTTAGAGCAGTGGAGGAGTTAGAGCTGTGCTAAGTTTAGGGGTGCAGGGCGGTGCTAACCAAGGCTTTCTTTCCAGGGCTGTTGAGACAGACCACAACGCCACTTTGTTGTTTCTGAGGGTTTAGGGTTTAGGGTGTGGTGTGGACTTTTGGAAAGGCTTTTCGATGATCCAAATCTCCGTGGTATCCAGTGTCATCAATTCCGTAAAGTTGGGTTTGACATGGCATCCGCACGAGGGTGCAGGTTCGTCCTGACGAAACTAAGGCCCAAGAGAAGGCAAAGCAAGAGGAGCAAAAGAGATACTCGTACGGGGCCCCAGTCTTTCCGCCGCTCTCTGCAGGGAAGATTCAAGGCTGAGGAAGTGATTCGCAGGTGTCGTGGAACCGGTACTTTGCCAAGCAGGCCTATAGGCCATGATCAACTGTAAGGGTAGATGTTTATCGCATGCACATGGAATCCCACATACGCAGTCGACCGCTTCTCCTTGGGATTCCCTGCGAGGTGCTTAGCAGCCTGTACTGGGAGGCACCCATACAAGCAAGCTAGCTAGCAATTCCGCAGCATAGTTCACGTGCATTTCTGCATACATCTCTAGTAGTATGTACAGACGCGCATATACGTGTTCTTCTGCACTTAGGCATCCGTGCACAGTGCACAAGCACAAGCATGATTACATGTGTACAGCAGGTACACATTGCACGCGGTATTAATATACATTCACACATAGAGAGAGAGAAAGTCTGTACATGCATACGTGCACACACAGGGACACCAGTAGAGGCAGTCACAGGGATAGATAGGATGAATGGTTCATGGAGTAGAAACACAACAATCAAAACACACAACTGCCGACACGCGATACACGTCAGCTAATTCATCGCATTTATTCGAGAAGCCTGCACACCACACCTGTGTGACAATCTGCATCACAAGGCCTGAAGGACTCATGTCTGTTAGTCTGTTATCCTTTACTAGTTACGTCCCAAGGGCAAGAATGCACTAGCTCCTGCCTTTGTTGTGGAGCCTTAAAGGTCCTTTGCATAGACTTGAAAGCTTGGATTCAAAGTTGTGAACATGCGCTCCAGGCGCCTGAGCTTCAAGTGGAAGATGCAAGACGAGTCGCGGCTCAAGGATGAGGTGGCTGCTGCGTGGGGGGTAGGTTCGAGCAGTATATGGGAGGGTTTAGGGTCTGGGGTTTAGGGTTTATGTTGATTGGATTCAGGAGTATCGGTGAAAGAGACATACCAGGGTTTTAAAGAATTACGATAAAGTTTGATGGTCGAACTTCTCCAACAATATGAAAATCATGAAGTTTCTATTTTCCCAAAAATACGAAAAATCTAAAGAAGTTGAAAAAGAACAAATTAAATATTTCAAGGAATATTTTAAATATTCTTAGTTATTTAGAACTATTTCTTGAAAAATGAATATGAATTGAGGACTACCATTCATGATTGTGAGTTTTTTTATTTGCTGGGGCTGAAAGGGGGGGGGCAGGACGAACAATAAAATCAGGTGCTTGCAATCTCAAGTGCAGTTGTGACCATAGAGCCCTCGGGTGCATGAGTCTGCTTGAGCATCGCCTGATGGCGTGGCAGCTGTGGCAGCGGCATGGACTCGTTGCAGCAGGCACTAAACATCTTGGCGGATGCGGCTCCAACAGAAGGTGCCAGGGCTAGGCGCCGCTCCGGCAGCCAAGGCCAGGGCCAAGACC